CCCCCCAGTTCTCAACATGGAAGAAACCAGGAGGAACTTTACTGTTTGTCCCTCTATGATGCACTCAGGCCATAAGCCTGATCTCTGAATGGTAGCTTGCGCAGCGCCAAGCTGAATTCAGTTCCATTACATCTCACCTGCTCTGGCTTCAGGTCTGGGTGAAGTTAATGAGAAATCCATGGAGCTGAATGCTCTGTACCTTGGTAGCTGTCAGGCTGTTCACCCCTGTGTGTGTTCATGATTTCCTTAGGCCAGAGCTAAGCAGCTGCATGGTGCTGGTTACAAGACATTGTGTCACCTCGCAAACGCAGATCCTTCACTCCTGGTCCAGACTGTGCCGAACCTCTCCAAGAGGCAAGCCAATCAGATTGTGGCCTCTGCCAAGGTAGGTCACTGCAGCAGATGGACCAATCAGGTTGTGTTATATAACACAGTCGTCTAGCCTTTTGTAGTCTATGCTAAATCTCTCCTTCTCACATCAACATATAATGCAAAATTTAGTCACCAATTTGATGCTGCAACTGAGTATTTTAGGTTGGTAACAGTTAAAAACTGGAACAAAAAGTTCAGCTCTCATTAAGGAGCACATGGCCTCCTTTCAGGGTTACAGCTGACAAATGGCCCCTCCCCCGGGTCCTGGTTGGTATTGCAGTTTTTCAACATCACCCCCCCCCACCATCTACCTTCCGGGATTCTTCAACCAGCCCACAGGGGGTCGTTTCTCTGGCTCTGTTAATGTGATAGCAGCACTGTAAGCTTCTGTTTACCGGTTATGGGTTAATGTCTGATTTTACAAGCCTGTCCCACGGCATGGGACACATTGGACAGGATCCCAGTCAGCCACAGGGCACATACTCTCTGTCACTCACTCACACACACACACACCCTCTCTCTCTGCGGAAGGACACCCACAGCTCTAGAGGTACAGTGCTCACAGAAAGTCTTGGGATGCCTGCTTAAGTAAAATATAGCAAATTTATTGATTTTTATTTAAAAAATCATTACTTCCTTGATTTGCAAATATATATATATATATATATATATCACATTAGAAACAACCAGTCGTTTTAAGAAAACATTCATGTCATGTAGTAATAAATCCAAACCCAAAATATAGTTCTAAGAGAGCTGTTTTGATTTAAAAAGTTCATTGATAAACCGTTTTCTTTGGTGATTTTTAATTAGTAACACCTTTGCAATAACATGAAACACCAAATTTTTGTGTTTAGTATCACTTTGGGAACCAATGGCTGCAACTGCAATTAATAGTAAAATGGGAAGAACGGAACTGAATAGTCAGTCAAAAAAAGTATGTCACTTAAAAAGAAAATAGGTGGAAGACACGTGAAGATATTTGCATGTTGTTTGTCAGTGGGCATTTGTTATGAAACCAGTTAATTTACAGCATTTTTACAGAATTAAGCAAATGCCCCAAGACCTTCCGTGAGCACTGTTTGTGGCTACAGTGCATGCTACTGTACCAAACTTACAATTCAGTATGTATTGTTATACATTATATAGAAATTGAATAATTAAAATAAGTTCCAATAAGTAAAATAATAAGTCCATAAAATGAATTTGAGTGCGAGATTTGTGTGAAATGTGTGCAAACATGCAGTTTGACCTGGCATAGGTGAGGACAATCTGTATTAGTGATGATTATTGAATTTAGATTAAGTAATGTCATAATATCTGACCAGGGTCCAACTGGGAAACTATACTGACCTAAGGAACCTGGTCTTCTATGCTCATTTTGCAGATGCTGCTGATGGAGAAGGCGGAGTCTCTACAGGAAGAAGTCAATGAACTTTTGAGCCTGCCTGCCGACCTCCCCTCCTCCTAAATGTGTCTTTTTAGCCTCAGATATGTGTTCACCACTAACCCAATAAAGCTTTTGGAGTCATCATCTGACTTACTCCATAATTGTGTTTTAGGACTGTTTCTCCACAGCAGACACTTATCTCGTTAGCATTTAGTGGCAGCAAAGGCAAGGGTGACTGCAGAAGACACTTGACCTTGTGAATGTAATAACTGTATAATATGTGTGTATATATATATATATATATATGTATGTGTGTATATATATATAT